GGTGGTCCAAGGGGTTCAGGGTGCTTTTCTGTGGATCTGGGCTGATAGGCACTGCCATGAGGGAAGCCTCTCTCTTGGCATGTTTCCACAGCCCAGGCTCTGCCCACAGCCTTGCAGATTCAGAAGAAATATGTCCCCCGACTCAGAGATGGTCAAACATGAGTGAGTGCTCCACAGTGACTGCATTAGCAGAAGAATGACAAATGCTGAAGGACTCATTCACAGGAAAGATTTCATTTTAGCAAATAAAAGAAGATGTAAGAGATAAGCTCTTGTGATAAGCTCTTATTCTGTTTACTGCCTCCCTGCTTTCACCTCATGACATCAGAAGGAGCGGTGCACGGCCTAGGCAGCTTCTGCTGATGTCTGTACTTACCGGTGGTCCCTTCAGTGGACGGCTACTGTCAGCTGAGCGAATGACCGAAGAGCACAGAGAGTCATCATGCAGCAGTGGGCCTTTCTTCTATGTAGCACCTGGGGTCTTGCTGGAACCCAGTGGCAGGAAGTTGTGGAGAAGACCTTGCTGTGAGGGGTCTCATGGGTAAGGCCCCTTGTAGAAATCAGCTCCCGACCTTATGAGAAAGGTTCTGAAGAAATCGGAGGTAAATGCAACTTTGCTTCAGTCTTTCTGATGCTTCCCAGTCTTTCCACTCAAAATGCCACCTTTGGTGACAGATGGTCGTTACACTTTCGGTGAGCAGAGCCTAACGTACAGAGATGTGGAATCCCTGTGCTGTACACCTGAAACGCAGGTAACATTGTGTGTCAGCTAGACTCAGAAACAGTTTTTTTGAAAAAGGCAAAATGCCACCTTTGGAATAGTCTTGTAAATAAACAAATAAGGAAATTTCAATGACTTTGTTATTTTAAAAGCGTAACTGAAAATTGCCCCCACTTTAGTTGTGTAAAACAGCAGGTAGCCATTACCTATAATGTTAAGAGCTACCATTTACTGAATACTTACGTGCAAGGCATGGACTAAGGAATTTACATACATTGCTATAATTGAGGCTCACAACAAGCTCTTTCACAAATAAGGAAACTGACGCGTGAAGAAACTAAACAAGCTTGCCTGAAGTCACAGATTGAAGAGTGGCAGGGCCAGGATTCTGGCCAAGGGCTTTCCCAACTCAAGAGTTCACTTGCCCTTACAGATCCGCCTCTGTGTCAAGAGCTGTGTCGTCCATCCGGGTAATATTAAGTTGTCATCAGATAATCAGTCATTACCTTTCTTGTTACAGAGCCTTTGTTCCAGGCAGAAAACTAGAGAATAAGAAACATACATGCAAGGCCGTGCACATACAGAGAGGGACCCAACTGAATGCCTTTCTTGTAAGCATCCTAGATCAGGTGTGACAGTCCCCCATGTGTTGTCCTCAGTTTTAATGTGTGTCTCGAGTAACTGGGACTAATAACAGATACAACGTGAGCGACTTGAGAATAATATACCTTAAAAAAAAATGAACTAGAATTGATTCAAAGTGATACTTAGAGTGATGTCACGACAAATGATATTCCAGAATGCTTTCTTGAGTGGAGCAAGGGGGAGGGAGGAATGACAGCTTAACCTCGGGGGGTTGTCCAGACCCCCTGTTTCCCCCTACCCCCCATCCCATGGGGAGGTGTGGCGCAGGGGCTATTCGATTATGCACATCATCTCACGTGTTGGGATCGAGACCTCTTGTCAGGAAGTGTTCAGTAGATATATGATGAAGTAATGAACGAATGCTTCCCTTCCTTTTGGTGGGTATTCTAACAAGGGAAACAAACAAAGCTGTAAGGGAAGGAATTTGTTTAGCAAAATTTTATTCCTATTGCTCAAATTTCTATGAACTATTTTAAGTACTATCTTAATTCACAGCTTCTTCCAAGTATAATACCATGTAATAATATAAGCATTAGCCAGGAACAATGGAGACTTCTCTGTTGAAATAAAAATTGCTTCCATAATGAGGATCCAGAAATATTGCCATTTGAGTAGATCCCAGCTGTAGGATGAGCCCCTTCTCCCTGAAAATGTCACCACAAGTGTTTGGAGATGCAGAAACAGAGGGGTCTAGGCAAGAGGGCCCATGTCTTTGAGTTCAGCTAGCCACAGCTTTCTGAAAAGATAGTACAGGCCCCTTGGAGGACACTGGTCATGGGGTCGGATCATAGTCCAAGGACTTCACCTCACCTGGGGACAAGAATCATCGGGCTTCGCCAGCAGTGTGGGATTCGGTGCTCCTGAGGACAGTCTGGTGATGGGATAGCCCCCGGGGTGTGGCCACTGCAGCTTATGGCATGAGGGCCTGAGTGAGGCAGGTCCCTAACCATCAAGTCGGGTGGGAGCCAGCCTTTCTAGAATTCTGGCCATCTTCTGGGTCTCAGTTCTCCGTGTACCAGCACAGAACTAGAATGACAGCTTTTCTGGGCTGTTGACCCTAACTGTTCTCACCATGGCATCTTGTAGATCTCATAGTTTTCGTGGTCTCCTGTGTACTATGTGGGTGAAAGCCCTAAAAAAGAAGTGTCCTGTAAAAACGAATGAATCAGGGGGCAGAGAGTTGTCCATAAACCATGTCATTGTTAAAATATTAATGATGGAGGGGCGCCTGGGTGGCTCAGTCGGTTGGGTGTCTGTCTTCGGCTCAGGTCGTGATCCCGGGGTCCTGGGATGGAACCCTGTGTGGGCTCCTTGCTCAGTGGGGAGCCTGCTTCTCCCCCTGCCTGTGCTCTCTCTCTGACAAATAAATAAATAAAATCTTTAAAAATAAATAAAGAAATAAATAAAATATTCATGATGGCAATGAGGGAGGTAGAGTGGGGGCGAGGGGGCATGGTAAGAGGATGATGAGCCCCAGTGGCAGAGGAATATGAAATTCCGGGAGAAGCTGATGAGCTCCCGTGCAAACAGGTCGGTGCTGGGATTCCGCTGGAATCCAGGAGGCCCCCACAGCTGGGTATTGGAGCTCCCGGGAGGAGGTGCAGTGGCATAGACCCATCCCCACCAGGATGGCCCTGCAAGGAGGGGGGCGGGAGGGAGTGGCCCAGGGAGCCCGCAGCGAGAGCAAACGTGCCCCAGGCAGGGTCTGAGGACCTCCCCACATTTTACCAAACACAGAGCTGGAGGCACCACCGAGCTTGGGGCCGCGTGGCCAGGGAGGCGAAAGCACAGACCAGGAAGGGAGGGTGGCGCCGAAGGCAGGAGAGCGGCCCCAGCGTTGCTCGGAGGCGTCCCGGTGAGAGGTCACAAAGCACCGAGTGGAACTGGCGACAGGGGTTGGGTATGACTTCGGTGAATGGAGGCTCAAGACCACAAGGCGTGGTCTCTTGCAGCCAGTGTCCCAGTTTGGTTCATTTCTAGGGAAGTAAAACCATCGAGGATGGCTATTTCCGTTTTCAGAAAACATGCGAGCCCCTACTTCTGGGTCACCTCACATGGTGCTGTTATTTCTGGCCCTTAGGCGGCTCACTCTGTGTCAGCCTCCTGCTCTGGCTGTCGCCTGGTGCCAGCCCCCAGGGTCAGGGGGGTGGCCAGTGTGTGCAGGCGCAGGAGTGGCCCCAAGCTCACGTGACGGACATGAAGAGTTGCTGGGGCAGAATTACAAGTCACAGAGCTATGCAAGGCTTCGTTTTCACGCTGTTTTCAATCTGAGAGTGGCGACAACCACCCAGAGGCATACTGATCGTTTCCCTTTGACCCCAAGGAAGCTGCGCCAGCTCCATGCAGCTCTGGGCCTGGTGAAGGGCTGCCTGTGGGTGCGGGGCAGCTGCTTGATTAGATTCGACTTGGGGCCGTCTGTCACCTGTTGCCATGCCGGAGCCAAAACGGCCCATTACATGATTTCATAGTCAGACCCTAAGCCCCAACTTCCTTTAAGTGCAGCTGGGCCTGTTCATATTTTTGCCCCTGATTCCATGTCGTCCTGCGGGTATCTTAGGAACAGGTTATATGTACCGGACAAGTACACTGTTTAGCTGTGAAGGGAGTGTTTGTATTAGAATTCTGGCCTACAAAAGGGAGCGAGAGAGGGTTGGCCTTCGCGTCCAAAGACGTAGGGGTGTTTTACCTGGCAGGTCGACTCGTGGGCATTCTTAGACTTCAGGAGGCTCAGTGATGGCACAAGGTCATGTATGCATATTTCTAGGAATCCAAAAATACAGGCGTCTCTCCCCACCGCCACCACCACCACCACCTCAGCTGTTCTTACTCTCTTTCTTAGAGTAACAGGCCTTAAGCTAATAAATAGCCCAACAGACACTGGCTAATAGCCAACAATTTGGGTTCAAAAGGGATGACATATTGAAATGCTTTGTAAACAAATTTACGGAGTTAGAAATGAACCTTAATCACGTCTACTGTTTGCTCGTCACCTTGTGGGTCTGGTCAAACATTTTTGAAAAAGATATTCAACAACTAGATGTCCAGTTACATCTGCCTTATGAATATATAGACTGAAGAATAAACTCACTACAAGACACTCGAAGGGCATTTGGGCTTTTGGAAACTCAGTTTTGGGTCTGAAAGCCAACCAGTGTGGCTAGCTAGCGTTTTCCTTCTGCTACTGCTGTTGCTTAGGTCAAAGCTGGTTGCAGTTCAGAAGGGTGTTGTCTGGCGCTCGGCCCCGTGCCGCTAGCACCCATTGTGCGGGCAGGCCTCCGAATAAGAGCTTGGATTCACCCAGACCCTACGCAGATCCGGGTGGTGATTGAATGCAGTTTTGAATGCAGTTTTGAGGACATTTTGAATGTATTGCAAACACACAGGTGTATAGTTCGGAAGATATTTGATTTCAGATCTATTTCAAATCTATTATGGCTGAGACCAAAACCTCCTACCTTTTCCTTATGGTCACAATTCTGTTTAGATGTTAGGTGTGAAAAAGGACCAGTTCTTTGTCACTCCATGTTTTAAACAGGTCTGCTTCTGTCAAAGAGGAATGTGATCCCTTGATTTTGGGTGCTGTTGTATGAAACTAATGATTTTCTTGTGATGTTTCTTGTCCTCTCACTGCCAGGAAGGGCGCCTGTGGCCTTCAGGCAGCTCCGGGCCTCGGCCAGGGGCCTCAGAGGTAAGGAGTTGGGCAGGGGTGGGGGGTGGGCCGCCGGAGGTAGCTGCTGCACCCATGTCAGGGGAGGGAGGAGGGGAAAAACCATTGCAGCAAAACTGGTGGAAAGGCTAAGTGTATTAACAGCATAGATTAAGAGATAACGCATTTCCCTTAAGGTATATGCTGTAACTTTGGGTTAAAAAGGTGGGGAGGGGTTTTGCCCTGGAATGTCCTAGAGATGATTCCTGCTAGTTTGGAGCTCCTTACAGAAACCAGGTTGAGAATCACTGATCTTTACATGATCCCATAAGCTGCTAATAATGAGGCTTGGCAGATGTGGGCATAGTTTATAAATACATCTCCAAGTTTAATAATATGATTTTTTTAAATAACAAAACTTTTGCCTATAAGCTAAAAATATGGTGTGAGAGAAGTCAGTGGAGATATATATCTTTAGATCTGTATATATCTCTTTCCTCTAGAAGAAATTTGGGTGGCGGAATAGGTGAGAGGATTATGTAAGAAGAATAGTACTTGGATTCATTTTGGGAAAACAAATCTGTAATTATATTTACTTTGGAGTACAAAATATTTTTCATGTCAGTTACTAAAAATAACTACAGGAAACTTTTATCCAGAATGAAACAACTGGATAAGCCTAGAACCTAGAAGGAAAAAGAACGCACTTTTTCTGTATTTTCTTAAGTAATTGATAGATCAACATGCTCCTGTAAATAATTCATAAATTGACCCAGTGCCTTGTACCTACCCCAAGTACCATTGTGTACAATTAAACTTACATTTACAATGAAAACTCTGAGGGGCCCCCTACTCTTCTGAATCATAGGTGAGAGAGCAGGCAGCATGGTCCTTCTGCTCCAGGTGAAGGGGTGGGGGCCCAGAACTGTCACCGGGTGGGCAGGACTGCAGCGCCACCCGCACAGCGTTCTTCCACCCCGTTCCTGTTTACTGAACTCTGGAAATTGCTGTTGTATTCTACCGGAACCAGAAAATGTATACATAGCACACACCGTAACTCCCATTAAACCAGTTAACCACAGTCTCCACTGTTGAACCATCCTAGATGGTTCAAACCACAGGTTTGGCAAGATGAGTGGTGTAAGTCACAGGGAATAAGAAAACGACTTTTTTTTTTTTTCTGAAGTAGACTTTTCCTGTTGTTTCCTGTTTTGAGGACTGTTTGAGGGCGCCTTGGGTGGCTCAGTCGTTAGGCATCTGCCTTCCGCACAGGTCACGATCCCAGGGTTCTGGGATCGAGCCCTGCATCGGGGGCTCCCTGCTCCAGGGGAAGCCTGCTTCTCCCTCTCCCACTCCCCCTGCTTGTGTTCCCTCTCTCGCTGTGTCTCTCTCTCTCTGTCAAATAAATAAAGAAAATGTAAAAAAAAAAAAAAAAAAAGTCTCCAAACTGCTGAGAACACAGACCAGGCATGAACTTTCTTGATACCATCACATTCGTGGTCTTTGTGTTGTGGATGTCTTCAACCCTCTCCTCCTTCCCTTGCAGATCATGTATGCCCCGAGGTCCAGGGACAGGTTTACCGCCCCATCCTTTATCCAGAGGGACCGGTTCAGCCGTTTCCAGCCCACCTACCCCTACGTGCAGCACGAGATCGACCTTCCTCCCACCATCTCCCTGTCTGACGGGGAGGAGCCGCCTCCTTACCAGGGGCCCTGCGCCCTGCAGCTCAGGGACCCTGAACAGCAGAGGGAACTCAACCGAGAATCTGTGCGGGCCCCGCCCAACCGAACCATATTCGACAGTGATTTGATAGACATTTCCGTGTGCAGTGGGGGCCCGTGTCCGCCGAGCAGCAACTCAGGCATAAGCGCCAGCACCCGCAGCAGTAACGGGAGGATGGAGGGGCCGCCCCCGACGTACAGCGAGGTGATGGGCCACTACCCGGGCGCCTCCTTCTTCCATCACCAGCACAGCAGCGCGCACCGGGCGAGCAGACTGCCGTTTCAGCAGGACAGCTCGGGGGGCACAGTGCTGCCCCTCCAGGGCAAAGACAGGAAGCCCGGCAACCTTGTCTGACCCGCCCACGTGCGCAGGAGGAGGAAGATGCCGAGGAGGGAGGAGGGCCGCGCTGCCTCCGCCCCCCCCCGCCGCCGGCACGGTGGTGGTCCGTCTCACCTGCTACAACGAAGTAAAACCAAATGTGCAAACGTGGTCTTTGTTTCTGATTCCTTTCAGGGGAATTGCATGCAGACTAGACTGAAATAATACAAACTTCCATCCGGTCTGACCGCGAACAGTGTTTATCTGGGGACAGGCGTCAGGACGGGGTGGGGGTGGGGGGCTGGTTTTGGCAAAGGGCGGGCTTGGGAACACAGAGAAAGGGATGCTTGGAAGAGATCATGAAATAAGACCCACAGAGGTATTTGATTTATTTAATTATGAAAGGAGACTTTGCAGAGAAAGAGGCCAGAATGGCCCGTTTTATAACTAATTGATAAAGAAGGATGCATTATTATATATTATCATGGGGAAGTATCGGCCAGTTTGCTTTTTCTCCCAAGGTGTGGAACTTTTATTTTGTTTTAAAAACATGATTCAAAATTCATGTTTCGTGTGCCAAGGTATAAAGTGAAGAAGTCAGATGAATGCAAGGAGTTAATTTGTGTTGTGACGATGTGTTTTTAAAAAGTTGCACTATCTAAATGTTTATATATGAGGGGACTGTTCCATGTGAAGTTCTGTATGTTGTCTTATCACCTGTGGATTATTATTAGGCCCGAGGAATACCTGGAGTGTTCCCCAGAATCACCCGAGAAAAGATGTTTGGGGATGTAGCCTCACATACGCCAACTTACCTAAGTCTGGAAGCCATTCCTGTTGCAGGAGTTGGCCTCACATAGCAGTGCGTCACTGAAGTATTTGGAGACTTTTGGATGGAAGATAGGAAATACTAAATCCCAGCATTTCTGACTTGTTGAGTTACTCTGCTAGTCTTAGGCTGCATATTTGATTAACTTTGACCCCGACACATGCATTTATGTACCCGGTATCATGCAGTGCTGCCCATCCTCCCGCGGTGCAGTTTCTTCAGTAATTTAGAGGTTTTTTTCCCACTGTAGCATGAAATATACTCAGATACATACATTATTTTATGCAATAAATTGTTTAAAATGCAAGGTGGTTATTTTTAATACTGTTGAACTATGTGACTTCTCAGTGTATTCCCCGTTTTCTCTCTCCTTTTCTAGATAGGTAGTTCAGTTCAGGCCTGGATGGCTGGTCAGGGCTCTGGAGGCTCTCCGCCGTGGCCCCCGGGGCGGCCTACCTGGCCACGGTGTGCAAGGCTTCTTCATGCGCAGGAGGCCCCTGGAGCGGATGAGAGCACGCCGAGGTGCCCCGCACCGGAACAAGCCCTTGCACCTCACTGCCCGTGGCGCTGCGCTCTTGGAGGAATGCGGTGCTCAGAGCCCACCCCAGCTCCGGGGGGAGCGTCCTCAGCTCCCGGGATGGTTACCCAATGGTGCAGGGCGGGGAGCGACTGGAAGCACACAGGATAAAAAGCACAAGTAGTTCAATGCAACTAGAAGGCTAATTTTAAATAATTGCTAGTCTTCGCTTTACTACTCCTGATATTTCCGGGCATTTGCTCTTCTGTAGAATAGATAACTTCCTTGTGTGGAAGCCCATCTGGCCCATGTGACAGCCGTAGCCTGTGGGTTTGGCCCGCACCAGGCCACGGGAGGGCTCGTCCCCTTTGGCCTCTGCGTGTAAAACAGTGACTTTGGAATGGTGGCTCAGTGACTCTGATCTCTGCAGTTTTCCTGCCGACTCTGCACACGCGTGTTCATGTCTGTCTGTGGGTCTCTGGGGTGGTTTCTCAGGGAGGTGACTTGGTGCTGTGGGCGCAGAGCTGGAGACTGTCCTATCCACTGCTTTCTGCTACTTCTCTTGGTCAGGAGGTGGCTGGGTTTTGTTTTGTTTGGAGGATCGGAATCTCCATTGGAGTCATCCGTTTCACACAGTAACCTCCACAGGGCTAGTCACTCCAGAGGAGAGAGAGAAAAGGTGGGGCAGAAGCTGACAGGCCTCAGAGCTTGTTTGGAGGCTTGTGTTCCGGGGGCTGCCTTGGGGATTTTCAGACCGGGCAGATCCCTGGGAGCCCGGACTCAGACCCAGACTGCCTCTCCCATGCCCCAGGCCCTCCCGCAGCTCCGCTCACTGCCTGGGTCACAGGCCTGCGCTTAGGCAAGCTGGGCATCCCCTTGGCATGAAGCCTGACCTGGCCCCGCAGGGGAATGTTAGCACGTGACCCAGTCAGGACCCCCCCGCAGGTGGGGGCTCAGGGTAGGTTAGGTGTCCTGTCAGATGCAAAAGGAGAAGCTTAGTCATCATTCCAAACCTCACCTGCAATTTTGGTAAAGTGGTGAACCCGCCTTATATAGCTCTTGCTCAAAATGGTTTCACAGTCCTTTTCCTACCTGCTACAGGAATGAGCTATGGTCAGAAACTGGTAAATTCCCTAGTTACTTTGCAAGTTTATGAATGTTTTGCAGATGTCCACAATAATCGGCAAAGCAATTATTTAATTCAAATAACTTTAATCGTCCTTCAAAGGAGGTTCCTCTCATTCGGCCGCCCTAGAGAATTGCCCTTGGAGTTAAATAGTTATTTCAAGACACAGACCTATCAAACCATGACCTGATGGTCTTTGAGGCTGGACCTCTGTGATGAATTAGTTTGAAAGCCAGGGTCATGTATTGAATTACTAGTCAATTCCCTTCGACATGGGGAAAAGGTGATTTAGATCCGTGGCTTCTTGGAAGGTGTGGCCGCCCTGTTCGCACCACATTACTGGCCAGCTGAGGGACAAGAGGTGATGTGAGGAGGCAGCTTGTACAGGGGCCCAATGTTCAAGAAGCCCACGTACTTAGGAGACCCGCGGGTCTGGCTTGGGAACCTGTGACGTAGGCAATCCGTGGTAGGTTTATTATTTCAGTAGAGAGTTAGGATAAAGGATTGCATTGTTCGAAGGAGCAGTGGGTGGGAACTGGTGCTCCCGGGCATCCGGCTGGCGTCCCCAGACTTCCAGAAGCAGGAAACCCAAGGCATGTTGAATCCCGTTTCTAGGAACATAGTCTTCAGGGGTGTATTTGCTTTTTCAGGAGGTCTGTGTTCTTCAGTCGCCAAAGCAGTCCTTAGTACAAATGAGATTTTGCTAAACAAACTGTGTAATTGAGTAAACATTGCTCCATTCTTTGTGTCCCTGACCAAAAGTTAGTATTAAGGAGTTTGACAAGCATGCCTTCTGTCCTTCCCTGCCACATAGGCACATAGACACATAGCCCACAAGAAATTTCAAGATAGCCGAAGAGAGTATTTAAAACTTGCAAAGACTTGTCCTGAGGAGGACTTCACGTGTATCTGCTGATTTTAGTTCAAACTCTTCGGAGAGGACAGGGGCTGGGAGGCCTTCAGAAGCACTGGCATAGGAATGTGGTGCACAGATGAGCACACCTCGGGCTTCTGAACATCTTCATTTGATCTTCTTCACCTTTAGTTAGGTGAATTCTTACTTTCGTAAGAATGAGAAGGGCTCAAACGGCATGCACTGCTAGAAAGCTGCACTGACCTGGAAGAATCTGGTCAAATCACAGCCTTCCCCTCGGAAGCAGAGTTGTCCCCCTTGACAGGGCCCTCCTGCACCATCCGTCCAGTTGCTTTTCTGACTAGGGGGTGCCTGTAGAAGTGTCCTGGCGGGGTCCTCTGGGGCAGGGCTGGGGGCTGCTTCCCCCTCCCCCCCACTCTGTGCTCCCTGCCTGCAGCCTCCGTCTGGTGTTGACTGTGCCGGGGCTCCTGCGGTGAGGTTTGCTATGTAGAGCGGCACCGTTAACTGCATGTTGTCTCGTATGCCGTTCATTTTTCTTCAGATTTCCAAAGCTCAGGAGTGTGCAAAGGGGGGTGGTGAGGGAAACTGGGAAGGACACTTGGTTTTTAACTTTGCGGTTTTGTCTGTGGCTAAAACAAGACATACGCCCACGCTTGGCACCAAGCCTTTGTATGGTGACATGCCCCCCCCAAGGCCGCCTCCCCTCTCTGCCAGAGCCCCCAATCCTAGCTGAAGGGTCCAATGTGGGCTCCGTTCTGCTGACACTCACCCAGATTACCTTGGCCTTGGTGAACCTAAATGAAATGACATGATTGGGTGACGGGCTGGCAGGTCTCCCCTCCTCAGTGGGAGCCACATGGTATCCACCAGTGCCCACCAAAGTCACAGATGAAGAAACCACTTTGGCCCCAGACCACAAAAGCCCGTCTTGGCAGCTTCGCAGCTCCCCTGACTGGCACCAGTTGCCAAGGCTGGCCAGGAGACCTTGCAAAATACTCCTGCCTCGCCATACCCTGCATTTTTCAGGACCCAAGATTTCAGCCGAGGTTATTTTACCACCCAAAGTACTGCGTCTTTCGCGTAGCTCGAGTTTGTGATTTACTGCCAGACTTAGTCGTTTGCAGCAGCGGCTTTCCAGGCCATCAGGATGCTGGGGTGTGTGAGTCAGAATGCCTTGCCAAGAAAGCGCGGCCTTCCTCTGATCCTCTTTCCTTCCTCGGCGTGTGCTTGTTTGTGTGCAGTGTGGTGGGGGAGCCGACGCCCTACCCGCATGTTGCGTCGCCCGTGGCGTTCCAAAGAGCTCTGCATGCCGGGGGCTCCTGCTGACTTCAGCAGGCCCAGGAACTGAGCCCCCCCACCACCGCACTCTGCCCCCACCTTTGTTGTGCCTCACTTACAATGGTGCTTTTTCAGTTGTCTGTTTTCTCTTATGTTTTTATTTGTAAGGTGCTGTATATAACTTGAATATATTATGCACATATCCTACCCAATGGGTAGAACAAAAGATTGTTAATACTGTAATATAATGTATAGATACTGATTTTAACAGAAATGGCATAGAATTTGTGAATGCCTATGTGCTTTGTCCTCTTTTGTAAGGAAATTTGCAAATGGATGCATACAGATAAAAGTCTATGTAGTTTATTTTCCTATTAAATATCAATATTATAACACAAGGGAAAGAAGTCTGAACAAGCAAGCCCCTGTTTGTGACCAGCATATGTATGGCAATTGAGAGTTGCATCTTTGCTGTGAAAACCCTTTATTAAAAAAAATAATTTAAAAAGAATCCCACAGCTTTTTGGTTGCCACTAGATGCTTCTCATTTTCATCTCTTTAGTAAGGCTCAGTTGGACCAGTGGTAGTCAGAAAAAAAAAAAAGTTTTTTTCACCTTTGCTTTATGAAAAGATAGCTCATGTTGTAGAATAGTGGAGACGTCAGGCCCCAGGGAGAAGCACGTACTTCTTTAAAATTGCAGAAATTATGTCCAAGTTCAGTAAGTTGGCCAGCAGCAGAGGACTTTGTTCTGTACAGAGGCGTTGGTAGCCGTCTGT